TTCTGTAGATGAAGATTTTCACGAAATAGATATATTGATTTTACTCAAAAACTAGGAATTTCCAAGGTGGGTTGATCTGTCGCAAATGGAAGAGTTTTAGGGATATTAAGTCCGAATTTCAGCCAAGGAAATTAATTCTGGTTAAAATAAGAGCATTTTGAAACTTCACTTTCAAACTCGAAAACTTTACTACACGAGAAAATTAGTGATGGCTGATATGGGAATCTTCCCAACTGTTCCATTGACTGTCATGATTGTACTGAATGCCTTTTTTTAATAAACAATGATATATATATTTTTTGAAGTCCAGTGACCTATGGTTTTCCGAGTAAGGACTGTATAAATGTTCAAATGTTTATTTTAAAAAAGGCGATTTGTAGAGTACAAGACTTTTTTCAGCACCACAAATTTTGAAATGCGGTGTGTACAAAACTTACATTATTGTGGACATTCCAAAGGCAGAATATTAGTATAACAGTAGGTGAACCATGCCGACTTCAGTTACCTCTATCATGATCATGTTTTGTCGAAAGCATTTTTGATACCGCTGATGTTAACCCCAGTCTACTAACGTGACTGAGGAATTTCTTGTCAAAATCACTTCATTTTCAACAGCTTGGGCTGTATCCTTATCACTACACCCTCCAGTTCCTTCCACTTCTGCCAATAACTAGCAAATTTGCTCCATCTGGTTAAATGTAAAGTTGTCGATCCTGCTTTTTTTAAAGTGAGCAAGCAGCCAGCCTGTCATAGAAATTAATTCCCTACATGTGTCGTAAAGAAGTATGCACATGGCAGCGTTGACCCTGAGCACGAGCTTGAGGCTGTTGTTTAATTATCTTCTGTGTTGACGGGGCTCAAATTTCTGGAATAATCAGGGCCCAATTTTGGGGTGAGAATGCAACTTTTGATTTGGGGAAAATCTAGGGAGTGTTCAGCATGGTCAAAACTACATACAACCCAAAAATTAGGTTGCCTAAAATTTTTAAGTCAAACTTGAACGATACAGCCTTCAGCTGACGGCCTATGTTATCAAGTAATCAAGTAATATTGATGTAACGACGGACCCTAAAAGATGCATATTTCAAAATTCTAAATCTAGAACTACAAGTCTTATTGGGTTAAACTTAAGTTAGTATGTATATACAGGGACGTTTGAAGTGACATCATGATGACATCACCATATGATTTTATGTTGATTTTTCATTTTCACAAATGACACATGGTAATTCAAAATTCATTTTGTATAGGATTGTTAGGTCATAAATAAATGCACATATTTGGAAAAATGTCTGACATTTTCAGACAATATGTGAAGGTCTGATCATCAAGAAATTTGGTGGGTAGTTAGGTTATGTTACTGGTATGCAAAATCCAAATTGATGTCACTTTAATGAAAGTCATGTTATTTTCTACATGCAAACATTTGTGTTGAATGCAATGTTCTTAACTTAAAACAAGGCATGGACAAATATCCCATTGTATACCTGGTCCAAGACAAGTGATGTCATGATGATGTCATCAAAGGTACGTGATGTCAGCTTTAAAGTCCTATATCTAGAGAACCACATGTCTGATGGTGTTCAGTTTTTGGACAATTTATAGCAATGCATACGTAAAAACTAACAGATGTAGACCTCTAGTTTTTCTTCTAATTTCTTTCCTCTGTTTTTTCTACCCTAAATTCCATAGACTTTGTGCACAATTTGTTGTGTTATGTCCTAGCAAAGTTAATTTGTTACGTCATAGCAAAGATATGTCATATCAGTGATGTCTGATTGACGTAATTAGAAGTCATGAGGCTACCCTGAAAAATCATTTATTAAAGTCCTTTATACAACATCTGAATAAATCTCCGTCATCTGATTGGTGGATCGTTGATCACATGTCATTGAATTATTCGTACCAACGCACGGGGCGCGCGTGGCGCGCAGCGCACAGTGCAATGGAAGTTCTATTGCACGGTGAATAGAACTTCTATTGCACGGTGTCACTGCTGCTGGTGGTGGCGCTGTTTTAAATCGAGATAAATTGAATACGATTGTTCTCAACCTGTTGAACAGTTTGCATTAATATAATTATGATGAACTTGTCGAACTTTTGAACAGTTCTTAACCTGAAAAAATTGGCAATTAAAAGTCAACCAATCAGATGGCAAGGACTTATTCAGGTGTTATATAAAACAAATAATGAATGTTTACATCTAGTGAGCTTCTCCAATAGTCGGCGCCAAGTGTTAATAAAATATTTAACAAAATTATTTATATATATTTCATTATTTATCATAAATTCAAGCTTAGGCTTACTTATTTATATATAATGCATTATTTAAATATCATGAATTTCTTCTCCAACAATCATATATAATAAATGTTTGGCAGTTTGCATTATATGTAAATAAATTTATGTGCCACTGAATTATTTTCAAATATTTTTTTGCAACCTAATTATTTACATATAATCTGTCAACGTCATGTTATTATTTATATATAACTTTTTGGCAACAAAAGTATTTACAAATAATTTTTTTGCAATCTATAATTATTCATATATAATTTTTTTTGGCAACATAATTATTTACAAATACATTTTTGCAAACTAAAATTATTTATTATATAATTTTTTGGCAACATAATTATTTATTATATAATTTTTTGGCAACAAAATTATTTACAAATAATTGTTTGCAAACCATGATTATTTATTATAGCATTTTTTGGCAACATAATCATTAGTTATATAATTTTGTTGGCAACATGATTATTTACAAATGATTGTTTGCAAACTATTATTATTTATATATAATGTTTTGGCAATTTGTATTTAATTGACAGTTTCATTTATTATATAATTTTGCACCGCACGCATTATTTCTAAATAATTTGTTTGGTGCGAAGCGAACGAAGCTATGATTAATATATAATGGCTATGATTTATATATAATGGTTTTCTGAAATGAATAGTGAAACTCTTATGCAAATTACCTACACTAGGACATGCGTATATTGTATCATATAACTCTGTACATTGCGGGATTGCCGCACCGTGCTCGCTATAGAAAACATTCAGTATTGTGTATTTTGGGTCTGAATTATTTTAATTTGCACCGCAAAAGCTATTGAAATAACCCTCAAAATGTGATAAAACCTTGTCTCAATTCATGTTAACAGTATTCTAAGTCGATGATTCTTAAAAATCATGGAGAATTTTGGTATGCACAACGCTATACGATGGCTGGGCGCACTGTATAGATGCCATTATTCTTTTATTTATTAAAAACAACATATATATAAATAATAATAGTTTGCAAACGATTATTTGTAAATAATGATGTTGCCAAAAAAAATTATAGAATTAATCATTATAGTTTGCAAACAATTATTTGTAAAAAGTTATGTTGCCAAAAAATTATATAATAAATAATTATGTTGCCAAAAAAAAAAGGGAAAAATAATTATTGATTGCAAAAAAAAAATTGTAACACGGTTTGCACTCTCGAGCGCAAGCCCTTTTGTGAGAGGTCACAACACGGGCACTTGTGAAGTGTCTAGAGCAATGCCAGAGTAAGGCACAAAGACCGCTCAGTTTCGGTTTGGTTTTCGCTTGATACAGTCAATGACCCTCCTCCCACCCCGATCTCCTATTCAGGGTTACTTAACCTTAAACAATGGAGTTTCTGTGATCTTACAGTTAGGAATGTTAAAGAGGTTTTAACGAGTTATTATATACATGTAGATGTGTATGTGCATTATGTGGGATCTTAAATCTCGGATGCGGGGGGGCTGGGAAGGGTTGGGTTTGAACTCATTGAAGCTCTTTGATTATGATTTAGTAGACTGGATGGTTTAAGCCCAGGGAGGGAAAGGTGAGATTGGCCATTTGTCAAATTCTGAGTGGTAGGCCAAGGGTCAGTACAAACGGACAAATTATAATGATTGATCTGAGCCACTTTCCCGCCATGGGCTCTTGTGCTGCGGATAAGGAAATTATCCACAGCGTTTATATCAGCTTGTGAAAAGCGAGGGCGCTGCTAATTGTTGTGAGAAGCCCAATTGTAGGGATATCCGTATATAGTCCCTTGGGACTTGTGAGAAGCGTTTGCGCTTCTAATGGTAGGGATATCATATTAGTCCATGGGGACTTGTGAGAAGCGACTGGCGCTTCTGATTGTTGCGAGAAGCGACTGGCGCTTCTAATTGTTGGGATATCCGTAGTCCTTTGGGAATTGCGTTTCTGTATGGATATCCGCAGTCCGTTGGGACTTGAAAGTAGCGATTGCACTGCTAACTGTAGGGATATAGCCGTAGCCTTGTAATGATTATAACTGTTAGCATGTAAGTTGTAAATATGATTATTCAACCATGCTGGTATGTATACCTGGACCTGGTAAGGATCATAACTTATATGTAAATTGTACATGTAATTGTTAAACCATGCTTGTTGGATGGTATCAAGTGAATAAATGCTTGCCGAGTGACCACAGTGCTTTTCTCCGGTGTGACTCTTTCACAAATAATGATGTTGCCAAAAAATTATATATAAATAATAACATGACGTTGACAAATTATATGTAAATACTTAAGTTGCAAAAAAAAAATTATTTGTAAATAATTCAGTTGCATATACATTTATTTACATGTAATGCAAACTGCCAAACAATTATTTATATACAATTGTCCAAGAAGAAATTTATGATATTTAAATAACGCATTATATATAAACAAGTAAGCCTAAATAAGCAGAAAAGTTAATAATATAATAAAAATGAATTATATACAAATAATTGTGTTAAATAATTTATTAAAACTTGGCGCCCATGTGACACAGTCAATCAGAGATAAGGATCCTCATGACACAAATTATGCATTTAATGTACACAGTTCATATTCCGGCACTTTATTATTGGTTTATCCATACTGCATATTTGTATGTATGAAGCTGGTGAATTAATAATAGATAATAATGATAGATTCTGTTATCATATATTTTCACCACTCCAGGAAATCTTAGAGTAAACGAGGACAGTAGAAGGCAGAGCTTGAAGATAAAGTAAGAGGTAATACACTCACAAGTCTTCCTTTAATTACATTGGAGAAGAAGTATGGATACCAGGCAAACTAAAGTATATATGTTTGATGTGTTAAGTTGCATTTTGAGCTACTCTTTCATTTTTAAAGATCGCTTTAATGAGAGTAACACTGTAGCCCATTAGTCCCTGTTCTGCCCCAAAGTGCCCTACCTGTATTTCTTCTACCACCCAAAATCGCCCCAGCACTCAATGGTTTTCATCAAGGAGTAAATAACAGTGTAGTACAAGTGTTAAAGGGAATATACATCATTTGCTTTTGCTGTAATTTTCAGAAATGGATGGAATTGGGGGGTTGGAAATATATAGCAAATATAGTTACACTGACTTTTTTGAGGTTTTGGGTTCGAAAATGCTATAAAAACCAAGAAAAACAATCATTTTCCTGTAGTCTGGTTCCCTGACTCCATATAAGAAGAAACAGAGCAGTTTACGTACATTGGGGAATTGTAAGGTCAGGAAACCAATCTAGCTGGCTCGTACCCGTTCATGGGTTTGTAATCGATTGCAAACAAGTGCGATAGTCAATTGGGGCCAGTATTTGAAAAAAAAGCCAGTTTTTTCCAACGCTGATCGGCCGATCAGCGTTGGAAATTGATACAAAAATACCACTTTTCTTGAAAATTACAGTATACCAGGTGCCATGATTTTACAGGATGCTTTACACTGTCATTCACTAACAGTCCAGCAAGGTATTTCAAAATGATTTGGTAGTTTTATTTTTTGATGTTTGCAAATGTTGTATTTTCCCTTTAATGGTGTGAATTAGTTAAATTAAAAGTTACGGGAATTTATTGTTATTAATGAAATACATGAACAAAATTATCTTGTTTTGGCGAGCTATTTTTTCAGACAAACACAAAGTTCCTATGCATTTTGTAAACCAGTTTGACTTAAATAAGTTTAAGTATTAAAGTTATGTTCCCTGTGCTCTTCAACAAATTCAACTTTTTATAATTTTTGTTGGGGGGGGGGTTCCAATACCTCATTTAAAAGTGAATAACATTTGTATTACTAGAACAATAGCAAAATGAAAAGGAATTTATTTTTTAGGGACGAAACTTGAAAGTAGGATGGGGAATGCATTTTTAAGTCAATGGTAAATCTCACTTCTCATTTAAATCGTTAACAAAATGCTTGTGTGTTAACACCAGGGAAGAGTCCTTATTTCAGGATGCATTGAAACATTATGCACTGATGTAACTGTAGGTCAGGTATTTGTGTCTTTCCCTTGATGCTTGGTAAATATGAGGTTTTGTCTCGCCCGCCAGCTATGTGGGTAGATACCTTGTGGGCATGTCACCCGCCAAAGAGGTCAAATTGACCATGGGACCAAGTTTTCAATTTTAGGCGTTGGGACAAAGGTAGCCTAATTGCCTCTGTGTGGATATTTGCCTGGCCTACAAACAAATGTGTTTAGTGAGTAAACACAATTCTAAACACTTTCTTGCTATCATCTCGTCCAAAAAATGTTTAGCATGTAAACATGTTTACAAATTTATTTTGTTTTTGTGTTTTGGTTTTTTTTAGGGAGTGAGATTGGTTAGAACAGGTAATAACAAAGTAACTGTCTTTCTTAAATTTCTTATATGATTAATTTACTAACCCAAAGTTTGAACTGCATCAATTTCATTATGCATTGCAAGTGCTATCACCAAATCGTGATATATTTCCTTTATCTAAACCTAGTCAGATTACACAACTGGTTAGGAGGTATGAAATGTTGTATTATATCCATTGAATGTGCAGTGTGCACTGGATAATCAAAGAACATAATGTCATTCATATTATATATAGAGCTTAAAGATGAAATGTAACTGAAGTGGGAATACATACGACTGTCAAACAAAACAAATTGCCACATTTAGTTGCCAGATGGGAAGTGACTTCCAGTAAAAAGGTAATTAAAAATACACAGTAATTAGTACTTTAAGTTTTTCTTTAAATTACATTTTGCTATGATGTCTTGATAATTTAATATATGTAAAATTTTAAAGGGGCACGTTTCATTGGCTTTTATTGTTTGTTAGGAGGAAAGGATCTATTTTAGAAGTAATGCAAATCATTGAAAATTTCTTTGTTAAATATCGTAATCCAAACACTTTGGATAAATTTAGATTTTGTATGTTTATGTGGAGTAAATGGGCTACCATGGTATTTTTTATTAGAGTATTCTTGTAATTTATATTGTCTTCCATTTTGGGGATTAATGTAAATCTTTTGGTTGTTAAGGCCCACTTGAACACTGGCAGAACTTTCATTACATGTTATGATGTATCTGTATATAAAGGACTGAATGACAGTACATAATTTCATGTTTTGTTATGATGACTTGTTTGTTTCGATTGTGTTCAGTTTGGAGCAACCAAGTTGATTATGTACATGTTATAGACTCAAGACTTTCCACTTAGTTGGTAGAGCCTCGGTTTTTTTTTTTTATCTCAGTCAAGGAGTACGGATGAGGAACTGTAGAGTCGAGTTGAGAATGGATGAGGCGAAGCTAAAAATTGTTTTAGATTATATATACACCATGACAAAAATTTATGAACTAATTTTGTGGCGGTTATCGGGTGAAAACTGAAAGTTAAATAGAAGACTAAGATGTCTTATACGATATTTACTTCTTTTGGAATAAACTTGAAGGGCTCTTTTGAATAATTTTTACAGAAAAACAAAATCTAAAATGACCGGTGAGAAGGACTGTTTTCAAGCCAGCATGACTAAATCCCGAACCCATCGACTGTAGGTACTAGCAAAGATACTATGGGTGCACACCGGTAAAAAGGCCTTAATCCCTCCACCGAGCCCATGAATAAAAGTTATACCCCTCGAAATACAAATTTTCTATAATCAAGAGTTCTACGAGCAATAAAACTGGGTAATTGAAGAGATAACGCAATGAACATCTGGCCTGGTCGCGAATTTTTTTTTTCTATCAAACGACATCCGCATATGGGTGTACGCTATGGCGTTTGGAACTTTTATAAAAACACGAGAAGAAATTAAATGAAATGACAAAAAAAAATGAATTAGAACGTTATGATATTCAGACTTTATTTCCCTTTAAAAAAAAAATCCTCCAAAGCCTCGGGTTAGAAAAGGAAAAAAATTCGGGTGCAAAACCGAGAACCGAAGCGCAACCTCGCGGTGCAAAATCCTACCCTTTATCAACTGGGCTGTCGCACTTAGGGTGACCGTAAGGTCATGACAAAATTCTGCTAAATGCGCTTCAACAATCTGTCAGATTTGTCAAAAATCTGCCAAATTCCCCAGAATAACTCGAAATACACTATAAACCTTTAAATCACATGCAGATGTTGTAATGTTGCCTTAATTAATGTTCAAATTATATTATAAACATCTATAACCACATAAAGATAATTCGAAATTGCGTAAACTTCAGGCAATTAACATGCATTGGTGTCACAACGACATCCGGTTCCCAGTGTTTGCTCGTACCCCCCGCCCTGCAAACAGAACGCTGGGATCAACCTCGTCCCCAGTGCTTACTTTTTTTCCAACCGTGTTTCCAATAGTAAACCCTGGATAGTAAACTGTGATACTGCATGTTGTCTCGATAAGATCGTAACAGTTTAATTAAATAAATCGCGTTTTCGTAACTCACGCTGTGCTCGCGCTGCGACGAATTGACTCTGTTTTTACCCCAGACACCGCATACAAAAACGAACGATAATGTAACGCACATGCAGGCACCAGACTATTCCTCATTTGCATACGTGTTCAAAAATCTTGCACATGCAAATGATCCAATACCAGGGTGAGAGAGCAGGTAGTGATTGGCGCGTACTGCTCAACACCCTGGGGTCGAGGTTGTGCTGGGATACTCTGATGAGTTTCACAGAATCTTGTGAAGGAAGTGGCCTATGACCTATGTATAAAGCATCTGGCTGCAGCTGTTCAAGACCGCAGTTAGACAATATGCGCAAATGCTAAACATTCCATACCGGATGTGATTTCTGTTTCATTGCGGACCATGGGGACAAAATTTTGAGCGTCGCATAAAGTAATCCGACCGTTCGTGATTCGAAACGGAGCCTGAGCGAGTGACAGGAATTGTAAATGAACAACACAGATAAATTTTATGGAATTTCCTACATTATTACGCTTTTCAACGACAATAAAACATCTGTAAACTGGAATAAAAGAGTAATGAATCAGTCTTAACGGCCGTTTAAAACCTTGCAGAGTCATGACCTTGATCACGCGCAGGTCACTGGTCATTCAAAATCCAACCAATCAGAGCGTGGATTCATCAGAGTATCTTGGGGCGTTTTAGAATCCCTGTTCTTGACAACACTCGGGTTAACCCGACACGAGAACAGCGGTCTCGAACGTGACGAACAGACCCGAGAGGGCGTTCGCGGATCGATTTTTTCACTCCCCGGTTGATGGAGGGTTCGGCGAGGTACAGCTTGAACAAAATGGCGGACTGTGCAGATTCGAAAGTTGTTTTGTGGTTTTTTTTGTGTGCTTATACCCTAATGATTGGAATAAGAATACCATTATAGTGCAGTCTGCAATTTTGGTCTGTTTCACATTCATCTTCAGAGTCGTCCTCGTTCATTTGGAATAGGCCTAAGTACAAATTCAGACGATTGTCGGCCATTTTGCATTGCTTTATATCGATGCGACACGCACCCGCGCGTTCGTAACAACCAGCTCGAGAACACGTTCTCGTGCTACACGCGTGTTGTCAAGAACAGGGATTCGAAAACGCCCCCAGCGTCCTGTTTGCAGGGCGGGGGTACGAGCGAAAGTCCCAGTGAACCTTAGGCCAAGTTCGGGCAAGGACCATTGGTCGACTAGTGGTTGATTTGTGACGTACCTTACGCCTGCGCATTGATGGCAACGTGCGAACGTCTCTAGTCAATCGCTGGTCAAAATGTCATCGCAAAACGTCTGGATCCTGGCTCTCTGCTAACGTTATAAACGCGCGCGGCTATTGATTACCAGCGAAGCAACCAACCCCAGTAGGCTGGTTGCAAATAGTCGACTAGCGTAGTCAACCATCGTCGACTAGACAGAGTTCGGGCAAACGTTAGTTAACCATTGGTCAACTATAGTCCTTGCGCGAACTTGGCCTTGGCCTTTAGTCAAGTCCCACGCGCCTATACCCGGACCATCCGGACACGTAACACACTCTACTCTCTAGCCCCTGGACCATCCGGACACGTAACACATCCCTGATGCTGGCACGTAAAAAGACTAGCACGAGCGGCGAAGCCGTGAGGGCCTTTACCATCTCGTGGAGAACGCTTATGTTTTTCTTAGCATTTGTCTTCCGATTTGGCAGAGTTGCTGACTCGAG